TAAGATAAGGAAAAACATTTGTTCCAAATCGTGTGTGTTTCCTTTTATCAAAATTTACAGGGGAAGTTTTAAAACATTTGGAGTCCCAAGGCAGAAATTGGCTTTTTTTTTTCTCCTCTTGCAGAGATCTAATTCCGATGGCAACACAAAAATGTTGACAAGTCCTATATTGACAAAATACAGACTAAAGAATTTGTTTTATCAAATGGAAACTGGGGCAAGATAAACCACAATGAATTAATTTCTTCTTTGCCCAGTTTGCCTCTATATATTTCAGATGAAAATCACAAATGAGAGTTTTTTAGACTCCGGGAAGCCTCTACAACAGCTCACTGAGAGCAACTGGCCTTGTCCCATGTACACAAGATTTGTGACAAAAATCCGCTCTTGAGCATCTCAAACTTTGATTTTATTCTTACTTTTATATTACCATTTTTACTACCTTTGCCTATGCCCTGCTCTACCAGTTGCATACATGCAAAATAAAAATGTGAAAGGAAGCTGACACATTTATGAGCTTGGTGCCCATTTCAGGTTGCAGGGCTCTCTTGGGAAACGTCTGATTTGATCCTCTAGATGCTGATGCTCCTCTTTTTGCCCTTCAGATGACAGTGTTTGCACCCTGGGAGCATGATCTGCATTTTGTCAACAGGACTTCTCGCTCTCTTATCAGACAGCTGCTGACCAAAGCTGGGATGGGATGGGATGGGATGGGATGGGATGGGATGGGATGGGATGGGATGGGACGGGAGAGGACGGCACAGGATGAGATGGGATGGGATGGGACAGGATGGGATGGGCTCTACTCTGTCCATCGCTTATGGAAAAGAATGAAGTAATGGAGGTGAGGTATCTCCTGCCTCCTTCCTCTTCTCCACCACAGCCCCTTCTTGCAGTGGCTGGTCTCTGCTCTCCCAAGGAGTTGACGCAACAGGGAGCACATCTGTCCTGACTAAGAAACCTCCGAAGTTCTCCCCAAACTCTCCTCTCTTCACCATCTCTATTTTTTTTGGCACCAAAGGATGGCAGCAGCTGTACTGCCCCTTCCAGCTGACCCCACATCTGGGATCTTCAAAGCTCCATCTCTTCATGCCCTGAAACCTCAGTGTCTCTGCCCAAACCCCCTCGTGTGTCCCACACCCTCCAACACTGCTTTGCTGCCACAGAAGTGAATTTTGCTTCCTGAACTCAGGAACCCCCAGCCGGCATTAGAGAGCGATGACCTACCAGAGTTAATTCATGTCACTCAATAAGAATTGCATTTGTGGCAGAGATGGCCCTGAAGGCCTTGTCCAAAGCACAGAGTAATTTAAAAGGCTCCCACTGACTTCAGTCGGCATTGGTTCCGGATGATTAAAGAATTAGCTTTGATGATTTCTAAGGCAAATGAGCTTGTAGAAACTTTGACTTTGTTTGTCTTAACGCTTGTGCTTGGAGCACAGTTATGGTGAGACCTGGCCCCATGAACTCGTCTTTAAGAGAGTTGCCCGAAGATCAGGTAAAGGCAAGTGAAGACCTCGGACTTTGTCTTATTAGAATTCATCCTTGAGGTCACGTAGGAGTGGAAACTGAATTCAGATACCAAGAAGCCTACGGAAGATATAACAAAAGGCTGAGAATTTCTCCTCCTTATATACCACGGTGCTAAAGAAGGAAAAGGAATTTTATTTCAACTACCCAGGCAAAAGACAGTATTTACGGACCAGGAGTGCCTCAGTGTCCAACTCATGCCGTGCATACCTGCTGTCTGCTAAAGACACGCTAACCTCATTTCAATTTTGGAAGTTATTTGACTCAAACCAAACCAGAAACTCCCCCCCCAATTCCCAAATCCATCGGGAATTGACAGGCTACAGCTGCGATGCCAACACAAAGTTACTGCCCTGGGGATACGCTTCAGCCAGACATCACGCTGCAAGCAGTTACAACAGACCGGTTCACAAAAGAGGTTGCAAACACTCTTCAGGCTCTACAAGAATGATGAATTACTTCCCTGGAGGTGTTCAAGGCCAGGTTGGACGGGGCTTGGAGCAACCTGGACTGGTGGGAGGTGTCCCTGCCCAGGGCAGGGGGGTGGAACCAGATGATCTTCAAGGTCCCTTCCAACCTAAACCATTCCATGATTATTTCCCGTAGCAAGGAAAACCCTAGCAAGGGGCACAGCATTCCCAGAGGAACACGATGCACAGAAGACCCAGACCTCTCTTTTCCTGTGGCAGTTTGAGGTCCATGAACAAGCACAACAGAATGGCCACCCAACCAGACAGTTATGCTGAAACAGAGCAACACACTCAGTGAAGAACTACACCACAAACTCTACTTTCCCTCCAGCCTTACATTTATTCCCTCCATTTGTTTGTTTGTTTTTTGGGTTTTTTTTAAACTGAACTTGACACTTTTTCAGTCCTGCTTACCAGGTGCTACCTCGTGCTGAAGCCTCTCCTAGGTTTTCCAAAAACATCTTAAATGCGAATTTGAGGAAAAAAAATATACTGAGAATTTACTTTTGGGCTTCTTTGTAACCTAACGCTTTTACCCTTTAAAACCAGTTTTTATCTAGTCAAACCTGACATTTTTAATTTGTGTGTGCCGTGGTGCAAAGAACCACACACAGCAAAACGAGCTTTTAATTTTACATTTTGTGTACTTCTACTTCTTTCAGCAAACCATACGCTGAAAGCAGAGGGTGAATTTTCAAAATGGGCTGAGAACATCTCTCTCTGATGGATGACCTTGTTGTGAGACTATACGTGCTCCCTGGTACAACATAAAATCTGCTCTGGGTAACCTCCAGGGATGCTCCGGGTCAAAGTAAAACCTATCAAAGGGCCTGGAGTTGACTTTGATCTTCTACATAGCCCTTTTTTGGTTTCCCTAGGAATCATCTGACGCAGGTTAACTCAGCTCGCTAAACTGGGGTAAGGCGGTAGCTGTGAAGTGAAGCCAGGAGTGTGAGCTTTACACTTCGCTTTGCCTTTTAAACTGGCTTTTAAACTGGCGTGAAGTGAGAGTTCAAATCCAAATAAGCCTCCCAAGATCAGGTCTGAGGTTTCCAACTATCACCATCACCGTTTCCTTGGGCAGACGGCACATAAATGTCCACTGCTCTGGCTGTAACTGAAAGAAATACTTCGGAATAAATAGGCCTAAAGTAAAAAAAAATAAGGGGAAAATATCCTAGCAACAGACTGCACAAGTATTCCAAAGGAGACAAGAGCAGAGGAACTGTGACTAATCAGACATATATTCATATTTGGAAAAAGTAATGATAATGCCTTGAAAAGTTGACTAAACTTTGCTATTATTAAACAGGAGTTGCTGCTTCGAGAGAAAAGATGATTTATGATTTCTCACTGCGAGGCTTTTGCACTTTACTCCGTAACCCACGGAAGGGTGCAAGAGGAGCCTGGAAATTATGCTGAGCTTAATTATACTTAATGTGAATTATTCAGAAGTGCAGCAGAGAGACTAAGAATTTATTTCATACAAAGAAGCTTGACATTTTAATTGGTCCTTCAGAAAAGAGACAAAACAATTTCCTCTCCCGAAAATTTACATCTTCCCCAGCAAAGCAGCAGCCTCAGCCGAGCAGAACTTCATTAACGAGATTAATTACCGTGCCAGCGCCTGCCTCATCAGGTGCGCGGCCCAGGTGAGAAGCGCGACCCCCTCCCCGCCGTGTGTGTCCCCGTCCCTGTCCCCACCAGCGAAGGCGACAGGTTGAGGGCACCTTACCTTGGTCATTAGCCATTTTGTCAGGGTGCTCGGCTGCAAGAAAGAGACAACGTCGTTAGAGGCTGACAGCTCCCGGCCGGCGAGGTGACGCGTGGCACCAGCTCCCACCTCAGCGGGGTGGCGCGGGGCGGCCATCCCGCACCGGGTGGGAGGATGGGAGGGGTTTTACCCTTCCCCTTTTCAGAGAGATCCTGGAGAACCGAGAGGACAAAGACAGAATTATCGAGTCTCACAGTATCTCCGGTGGGAAGCGATCCATAGGGATCGTGGAGCCCAACTCCCTGCTCCTCGCAGCACGGCCTAATGCTAAACCACGAGCATTGGCCAGACACCCTGCGAACGCCGAACACCGTTTGGACCACACCTTGTAGCGGATATTTTCACCAAGTTCTTCCAACCGTGAAACCTTTACCGCAGCACTTTTTCATTCTCTTGTGCTTTTTCCATATGATCTGGGACATTTAATTAAGCGAGAAGGGAAAGGGAGAGAGGGAGAGGCACCGCTTCTTTGAATAATTACAGTCAAATCACCTACACGTTGAAAGCTCAGTCTGACTTATATTATCATTGTTTCAGCTTTTTTACAAAGGGGTTTAAAACTATTTACATGTTTTTGCATAATAACCATAAAAGATAGCGGGATCTGAGGTGCGCCAGACAAGGCTTCAACGTTCAATAGATACATTAAAAGCTTTCCTGCACAGCTACAACTTCTGACTATTTATTATACGGCCAAGGGAATTAAACTTTCCTCGGATTCATAAGTGGCTACCATCAGTAGAGCGTTAACCCATCCTCTGCTTAATAAATTATGCAAGAATCTTAAGCACGGGAAACTGGGGGGGGGGGAAGAAGTGATTTAGCACATGAATCTGGAAGTCAAATAACCGCTGCCTGCAGGTGCAGAGCACACTGCTCCCCGGGGCTGCTAAAATCACGACAAAATCTCCTCTAGATCATGGCCTCCCGCGAGGAACAAAAGGAGGTACCGAACCAGCAGCAATTTACATTTACAGGCGCATCTCCGAGCTCCACGCTTGGGGCAGAGGGGGAAGAGCTCCTTAGATGACCCCCAAACCCTCAGGTAATTCTTAATTTTTCCCCTCTCAGGCTTTTTTGTATGGATGCAAAGAAGAAGAGGAGTCCACAGCGCGCGTTGCCTCCAACTTCCTAGAAACCTGTGAGCCTGAGCCATCCCTGGGTTATCACCTTTCCCTTAGGACAAACAAATTCATGAAAAGAGGAATCCTCGCTCGCAGCTGATGTTACCTGGATAGCTGCGGTGGGCAGGTGCTGGGGGGTCCCCGGTTGGTGCCGGTTATGAACGGGGACGCACTGGTGATGAACCACAGCGCCAAGGCAGCATTAGAGGGCACTGCAGGGCTAGAAATGCTGCCCCACAGCATCCCTGCCCAAAGCGGGGTCAAAGCGGGGGGAACCGGCATCATCTACGGTTTCAGGGCGCTTGTGGAAATGGTCCAGTGGCCACTTTTAAACTGGTGTCCCGTGGAAAGGCCATGGATACCTTTCCACAGCACGATGGGAAATCTGAGTGCGCTGTGAAGCTCAGCCCATGACTTCTTCTTCCCTCTCTCTCCCTCTTTTTTTTTTCTTTAAAAACACATCTGCTCCAGTGTTTTATTCATGCTCGACATTATGTCTACAGGCGCATTAATAGGCAGCTTTTTTTTTCAGGTTATATATATTGATGTAGCGTTTTGTGCGATTCCGATAAACAAAACGCTACGCGTTAATTTTCTGCAATTAAAGGAGCTCAGCACACAAGGAAAGTCTGTTTTGTAAACGTCGGCTGAAATCTGGAATAGGAATGGCTGAGCAGAAGAAAGCAAAAGCACATTTAGCAAGTGCAGTTCTGAGATTTGCTCGTTTCTACAATACATGAAAAAAAAAAATCACTGAGAAGTTATTTAAAAGATTGAGGAAATCCTCCTCCTTGTCTGTCACCGGTTCATTCATTCACTCTGTAGTTGTTGCGTTTCAATGGGCAGTTGCAAAGAAATTTCAGGCTATTTATTTACTTCTGCAACTTAATGAATTTCTGAAAATTTATATGCAGTAAAAGTCATGTAACTCGGAGAGCTGGAATTTAACTTCAGGGGAAATCCATGGCAATACAAATTGCAAAATTGGCTGCAAAATATGCATACTATTTGGGCACTCTCTGCTTCTCTTCCATATACATATATATATGAAATCACCCAGATTCAGTAAGCGGTAAGAAAAAAAAACTAGTAACCACCTCAAATTTTGGCCTAAATTTTATAACCACAAAGAAAAGGTGGGATGTTCAACCCCATTTTATCCTTCTCTTGCAGGTCCCCAAGAATGCTCGTAGCAGATTCTTCCTGCTTTACGTGATAAATTTAAGCAGCCAGAGCATAACAAAAGCAGATCCTCGACTGATGCAAACTGCTGTAGAGTGATTGAAGTTCCCAGTGTAACGCCACTTTACATAAGCTAAGGGTTTGCCTATTTGCCTGTGTATTATCGTTCGTGGAGCTGTGGTGGAAGAACATAAACTCATTGCTCCACGGGAGTGTTATTTACTACTACACGGACCTCCTTCGCACAGATCACTACGTTTTCATTAGCAAAGGAAGATCAGGACAAACACGCACGTTGCAATTACAACACAAGCGATGGCTTGGTTTCCTCGCCGGAGCTTTACGTGCTATAATATATGAAAAGAGGCAGTGGGTGACTCAAGCAGATCTTCGATGCTTGTTCGGTTCCTCCTGGTTTAAAACTTCCTCTGATCAGGACACGGGTTTGCCAGCGGAGGAGCACACATTACCCAATGGCACATACACATCTTCTGTTAATAACCATTAAGGGGAGGGAAGCAACGGGTTTGTGCAATTCGCAACGCACTCAAGACTTCAGAAAGTCTTTTCACCTCAAGTGAAGGGCTAGATTTGTCAAGAAAACCAGTTGAATAGTATTGAACATGACATATTTAGGGTGGATATCATTAAGTATTCATGGCAGGGTATTAGACATAGTCCTTGTAGGCTATTACAAGATGTAACAAATGTATAAATTCATCTTTTTGGTATCTGTTGATGCTGCCTGATCTAGAATTCATTTCCCAAATGAGTTTTACGGTACTTTGTGTAAACATTACAAAGTAGGCGCTATCAAGCGCGTTAATCTTTTGGTTTAGTTTGATATCTGGGTCTCGATATCTTTTCATATCTCATTAGTCTGTGGTTATTATATTTCGATGCCTTGACTCGTTTTAAACTCACTCTGATAGACGTCTTCCGCTTGGCACAAATCGCGAGTGTGAAATGGAGTTGGCACCACCCAGCTTGATAGAGACAAGGCGCCTGCAAAGCGCTATCCCCTTCACATTCCGTGGCAGGGGAAAACGAATAATCAGCATCTTACCAATAATTCATCCCAAGCGAAACATGACTTGGACAAGTCAGTCCTGCCAACCTGGGCAGGCGGTGATAAGCTTGGGACAAATTGATCCGATTTTTCTTTTTTTTTTTTTTCCCCACCTGACTCTCGCTAATTCATGAAAAGTGTCATAGGAGGCTTTTCGCTCCCCGCCTGAATGGGGGAGACCGTATTTTAGAGACACCGAAAAAATTGCTCTTCACATGAAAGTTTGTTGACGGACCGACTCCGATACACGCTCTCCCCAAACCACCCCGCAAGTCCCCCCCAGAAGGGAACAACGTAGGGCCCATTCTCCGCCGACGTTTTGCTCGGCTTTTGTACAGCTCGCGGGGAACGGAGTCGCTTCCAATTGATGAAAATGAAACTTGAGAGTGAACGCTAATTCCGAGCCGCTCAGGCACGGGTTTGAGCCCCAGTTTCCCTCCAGTCGTGACTCCTCAGGCCCACCCCGCAGCCAGTTTCAATCACCTTCTGCCAAGACGGTTATTTTTATAGCCAAACGCCAGGATTTTTCTCTAGAGGAGCCACGGCGATAACGTGCCCTCTCATATGCTGCGCTTCTCGCCTGGAATAGGTTCGCTGTTTATGCCATTGGAGTTTTTCATTAATTACCTGTCTTTTTAAAAGCAATTTCATACCTTCGTGCAAACGAATGAGTGACAGTTAAAACACGAGGAGCAGAGCACCTTGCTTCCCACTCCCGCTAATATTGCTTACATCTTCATAACTAATAATTTCTGGGTAGATCACGACAGACCTTCACACGGAGAAGCAGTGGGGAAGAGAGGAGAGGAATCTCTCTCCGTGTTAATTTGAAATGGAGTCTGATACAAGTGCTGCTCTCACAACCACAGCGGCGCTGAAATACCAGCCGAAAAAAAAAAAGGGTGCTCTTGTTGTGCTTGCTTTTTCTCCCTGATCACGAAGGGAGAAGGAGCGGGTATTAATTAGCCTGTTAATAAGAGATACTGAAAAGCATCGGGAAGAACTTTCCCCGTGCAAAGGCAAGTTGCATCTCAGTTTGCTGAGCTTTTTAATCATAATTTTGCACGCCTACTCCAGGGATAGGAGTGAGTCATTACAGGTTCCTCCAGGAGGCTCCAAAATGAAAAGGGACCTCCCTAGAGAAATCCGGTGAAATCCAATTAGCTTTATTACCGAGGGTAGAAAGTTAGGTGGTGTCAGACTGCTTTCCTCCAGTTGATTGAATTTAAAAATATAGTTACTGCCTCATTATGTGGTTTACTTTTGTCAACTACTGTATGTAGCATTTTGCTTTTATCTCTCAATAATAGTTTTGAGTAGGAAAAGCTCTTCTGGCTGACAGGGAATTAATTGCAAAGCTCCCACGGAGGCATTAGAAAATTCTACGTATCATTAATATCCAGATGAGACAGATCCAAACCTTTCAGCGTCCGGAAGAAAATAGGATCGGAGAGGGGCCCCACTCCCTTGGCGTTGCGAGCTTGGATCCTGAAGTAGTAGACGGTGTCCAGGTTGAGGTCCATGATCTGGTGGGTGAGCCGGTCGCCGCTGATGGACTCCATAATCCAGTCGTCGATGGGAGCGTTCTTGTCCAAAGTATAGAAGAGGATGTAAGCTGAATAAACACAGTCTCTTGGTTAGTGCCGCAATCGAATTTGAACGTGCTCTGCTTACGAAACACAGATAAAATTCCCATTTCTTAAAAATCAGGGCTTTCTTTTCAAAAGCAGGGATGGCAGGTCTCCGATCAAAATAGCTTTGAGGAATGTTATCACAATGCCCATCTGTCCATTTTTAGAACAAAACCGCAATTACAGTATTCACTCTAGGAAATATCGATTTAACAAATAAACAAAATAGGCAGCACACGTTAAAATGCTGCTACAAGTACATTCCTCCAATTCAGGTGCATCATTTAGTCGGATAGCTACCGTAAAACCATAGGATATAAGTCTTCAGTGTTTCAGCGCTGAAATAAAACAAAATGGCGTTAATGAGCCACATCAATTACTGGGGGCTTATGGGAAGCCATGCAATATTTCTTGGCAACTGCATGGGGAAGGATTTTGGGGAAATGAATGAAGAATGAAAAATTTTGGTAACTCAGAATTTTGGTAACTTAAAGAGTACTACGATAACTACTTCCCACGGAATAAAACTTAACATTTTAGAACTTATAGAGCAGAAGTACTGGTGTTAGGAAACGACAATAGTTTGTAGGAACTGCCTTGCCAGCAAGTGAAATTTTGGGAAGAAGAAAAAAGCCTTTAAGCGAGGCTGAGAGGTCGAGCAGACCCTGCAAACACCAGTCTCTGCCTAACTTGGAAAAGATTTTATTTTTCTTTTTCCTGAAAGGCTCCCAGGCTAATTAGTCACATGCAAAAAACCCAGTCTAAGTCTGGTCCTAAGTGCCGTCCCACAGGAGTGGGGAGAACCCGGGTGGGTCTTCTGGACTTCATCTTTGTGCCTGGATCCACAGTCGCGACAAGGTTGGTGTAAACCTTATCAGCGCTATTTCCCTATTCTCTTCTGAAACAAAGATGCTTTACGAAACTCATTCCACATAAATGGTTGCACCGGTCATGGACGAGCGGTGTTAGGACGGAAGCAGTATGTTTTTCCGGGTTTTTTTTTTTGTTTTTTGGTTGTTTTTTTTCTCTTGTTTTATTATGGGACTTTATTTAGATGCTTGTAGTTTTATATATATTAATCCAACTGACCATGACAGTTGGATTAATATATATATATAAAGTTATGAAAAAATACATATAAGTTTCTCAAATGAACACAAATACACTCCCTCAAGCATGTGGAGGGATGGAGATTTGGTTGTTGGGGCGAAGCAATTTGTTTTTTTTGGTTTTTTTTTTTTTTTTTTTTTTTTTTTCTCTTGTTTTATTACGGGACTTTATTTAGACGCTTGTAGTTTTATATATATTAATCCAACTGACCATGACAGTTGGATTAATATATATATAAAGTTATGAAAAAATACATATAAGTTTCTCAAATGAACACAAATACACTCCCTCAAGCATGTGGAGGGATGGAGATTTGGTTGTTGGGGACGCTTCTACTCTCCACAAGGAGTTGTTTCCTCTGCTTGATACCTCTAAGGAACATTTGACCACACATGCAGTAAAAAAACCCCAACCCCTACGAGAGTCATTCTTCAACCAAGCGCTCCAAGAAGGAAGTTTGCGCATGGATGTCAGGGGACCCACTCTGAACGCTGCTGTCAATGGAGAAACCTCTATAAAAATTGCTACCATGGATTCCTTCAACACCTTGGAAGTCAGGAAAGCTTTTATTTTCTTTTGTCTTTTAGTCACTGGGCAATCAACACCATTAGTGCTGATTTTGGTGTGTTGTCCATCAGAATGATCATTTCTCCTCTCTAATGCTTACATTATGTCAGTGTAAACAGAGCTATTTTATCAAAATAGCCCCCTTTTGGACGTGGTCATGGATTGTACAGTCCTGATGATAATGTAGAGTGAAATTACACACAGTGATACAAGTCTAACCTAGGGAATGGTTATTACTGGGTGATGTCCGCATGGAAATATATCCTTATTTTGTTGGTACTATAAATTGGGATACTTTCCCGGCGTAGCTCGCAACAGCTCGTGTGATGCCAGCGAAGCCCCCGCTGAATTACAACTGCTCAAATCTGACCCGGGGCTCTTCGCTGCTAATGGCTCACGCGGGATGGCGCTCGGAAGCATTCTTCCTCTTAGGTATATATCTCCCACTGCTCCAGCAGCGTCTTATTGGGATTACCGGCAGTAACGGTGACACACGCGCACTTTTTCCCCAGCAAAAATACGTTGTAGAACTGGTCTAACCCAAGTGTTTGTAGCCACGTGACCATAACATGAGTGTTTTTGAAGATGAGCAATATTTCTCCTAATAATTATATGCCTCGGAGATGTCTATTAACAGCCTAAAATCATCATTTAAATGCAAAATCTCAGATAGAACTCTACTATATTTTTCAAACTAAATTAACAGTAAAAGTTTGTAATGGATTTCTTAATTAGGCACCAAGGTTATATGTAATATTTTGGAAAATAAAATCTGTCATTGTCAAGCATCTATTAAGTTCAGTTCTTGTCAGTCAATATTAGGGTGGGTTTTTTTCCTGATCATCGTTGCCTTAAATTGTTATTGTAAAGTTAAATCTCTACCAATAAATTCTCCCATTATGTGCTGCACCAAGCAACCTATCATTATGTATATTATGTACTGCATTATTGCCAAACAAAGTACTTATTATTAGTCATTTCTAATTACTGTTGAGCAGCACGTGCCACCAAACCTGTGCTTAGAGTGCTGCTTTTTAAAACTTATATTACTGCTCTTGGCATTTAAAAGGAAAAGATTTACATCCTCCGAGTTCTAGACCTTGCAGTATTCCTAACGTTGCCTTTAATCCTAGACCAAGTTGGCTGATAAAAGAAGAGAAAATACGTTAACGTCACATCAAATAGCAGCCAAGGAAAAACAAAAGAGAGATAGAGAGTGAAAGCAGCAAATGATGAGAACAGTAAATAAATAGAGAATACAGGATAATGCAAATGTTTACCAGTAATTTTTCCATTGGCATCCAACGGCGGCTGCCAGCTGACAACGACGGCTCGGGGCTTCCCTTCCCGTGTAATGACTGTCAAATCCTTGGGAGCAGAGGTTGGAGCTGAAAATAGTGAAAATAATTGAAAACAGAGGCTATTCACCTTCTTTTGAATTCCTTACAGACTGTAGCAGGCATGAACTACTCAGTAGGCATCTACCGCTTTCTTAGATCCTTTCAAATGCGCGTGTCCGCAGATGCATTTCAAACATGTAACATATGATTTGTCTCGAAGTGATATTTTAATCGTGGCAATTGTACAAGACACTGTGTGTGGATACGTTAGGATTTGGTGGATGCCTCTTATCCTCCTACCGTTAATTGCAGTCCTTACTGCTAAACAACCACCGAGGTAGCCAAGAACATCTAATACACTCTGGGAGCCCTATACGTTTAATAGCAGTAGTAATATTGTGGCTTCTCTATGTATAAAGCAAATATAATTGTGTATATTCATTAACTATACGCTGAGCTTGGGACATTTTAGACACGATAGAAAAATCTTAGCTTTTCTATTTCCGTTCTATTGCACCCCGCTTTACTAAGGCTGGCCAGCAGGTCTTGCACGGTGGCTCAGATATTTTATAATCATATCCTAAGACTGTGGAGGAGAAAGGAAAAACAGGCAATTATCAAAAAATAGTTAAGAGTGAGGAGTAAATATATTGGCGCTGAGCTCATTATTCATTTACTTGGTTTTGATGCAGGCTGTCAATGACTTAGAGCGTATAGATACCACCACAGCACAGAGAAGACAGTGCACAAGCACCCCATCATCTGTGTCCTACCTATATGGCCACTAAACAACTTCCTTGAATGTCTGAAGAACTGCTCCAAAGTCACTTTAGGAGGTAAAGCTTTAAAAATCTGTTGGGTCACGCTGAGCTAAACCAGCCCAATCTAAAGCACAGACGCAAATCTTCAGGGTGACGAACACTCAATGATCTCAAACAACAAGGACAGGAAGATCCAGCTGCTGTACAGGCTCTGCTCACAAGGAACCGATCCCTTTGAAGTAATGCTGAGCAGATGGTCTCACATATTTGCATAGAATCATAGAGTGGCTTGGGTTGGAAGGGACCTTGAAGATCATCTAGTTCCAACCCCCCTGCCCTGGGCAGGGACACCTCCCACCAGCCCAGGTTGCTCCAAGCCCCGTCCACCCTGGCCTTGAACCCCTCCAGGGATGGGGCAGCCACAGCTTCTCGGGGCAACCTGCCCCAGGGGCTCACCACCCTCACAGGGAAAAATTTCTTCCTAATATCTCATCTAAATCTCCCTTCTTCCAGTTTGAAGCCATTCCCCCTCGTCCTATCAAGCATCACTTGAGCTTTTCAAAAGTGGCGTCCAAAAAGCAACCAAGAAATCTGTACACAGAAAACCAAAGTTCCTTTACCATCGTTACATTACTAAGCAGGTGACTACTCTCCAGCTGATGCTCTCTGTGGCAGATTTGTGGTGGATTATCTCTTTGCGGTATGTGCTGGAACAACACGTTGGGTCTGGTATGTCCAGAGCCAGCACCGATGGGACTCCCGGAGCTTCACTTCAGTCTGGTCACATTAGCTGCTCCTCGCTGGAAGCATCTTTCTCAGCCTGAAGTAGGCAGGCTCCAACACAAGCTCACAGATCTTGGAGAAGACTCTCAATCCTCGGCAGCGCCTAGCATGATGTGAGCTCCCGCATTAGAATCATAGAATCATAGAATGGTTTAGGTTGGAAGGGACCTTAAAGATCATCGAGTTCCAACCCCACTGCCATGGGCAGGGACACCTCCCACCAGACCAGGTTGCCCAAGGCCACCTCCAGCCTGGCCTTCAACACCTCCAGGGATGGGGCCTCAACAACCTCTCTGGACAACCTGTTCCAGTGCCTCACCACCCTTAAAGTGAAAAACTTCTTCCTAATGTTTAATCTAAACCTGCCCTCTTCCAGTTTACAGCCATTCCCCCTCATCCTGTCACTACATGACCTAGTAAAAAGTCCTTTGCTAGGGAAGTTTGCGTTATTGTTATTATCGATGTGGTGATGATGATAATGATGATGATGATGATAATGATGATGGTGACGATGATGAAGATGAGAGGGTTGTGTTGCATTTGTGTTGCCACTCAGCTTATAGCAGCTCGGGGCACTGGCTCATGGGTTTGAAGTACTAGAACGAACATTTCGGACTGCCTTGATATTTTAGGGAACTGCAAGAGATAACCCTTTGCATAAGCGAATCAAGCTTGATTTTCCAAGCAGTATTTTCCTTCGCTTTACTTTTTCTAAGTGTATTCTGCAGTATTCTCCAACGTCAGAGAAGTGATTGTATTTCTACCCAAGTGCACCCACCTGCCTGTGAACAAACAGCATCTTTCCCTTAAACACTATTTTCCGTTCTCTGATATGAACCCTTTCGGCATGTTTTCATGAACTAACGCTTTCCCTTCCTTCCTTTCTGTCTTTTGAGAGGTTAAACTAGTAGAGCCCATAAGCCCCCTCCTGTAACGCCGGCTTTCCGTGCTGGCGATGATCACGCGAGTCCCGCTGAGCGGCTGAAGTTGAGCTCTGCTTTCAGCAGATTGCGAACACGAGATACCACGAGAAAAAAATCAAAGCTTTAGATGGTTCCCTCAGCGCTCATTAACACCCCTCATAGCAGTACGACTTGTGTAGGCAGATCTGGGGATGGAACTTGGCTCCAAGAGTTGCTTTTGAATTACAGGCATAACAACTCTCCCCAGCCACGGCAGTAATCTCCAGTGAATTCTGTATCGATGCTGATATGTATGTTCTTTAATATCACGACGGGAAATTCAACATGCGGAATGGGGACAAAATAGGCAATAAAGATCAGCAGCGCAGGATGCCCTTAATTAACAGAGCTGCTCCATCAAGCTCAGATAATTGCATTGCAATCACACGGGAAAATCTAAGGACACATATATTCTCTCTTATTTTCCCTCTGTTAATTAACTGGCGTGTATTGTGGTTTTCATTTAAAAAAAAAAAACAAACCAAAACCCCAACAAATCAATATTTACCAACAGACTTCATTTGGTATCTGCTCGTAGAAAATGATTTGCAATGGCACCTAAAGTGTTTTCAAGGCCAGCGGTCACCCTCAGGAAAATATAGCATGTACTGTGCTACTCTGGTGTCCGAATGCACAATGCTGCAGACAGACGAAGAAGAAAAATGTTTTAAGCAAAGCCACAGACATTCTGATCTATGAACTAGGGACTAGAGCAAGATATATGGGCAATCACAAAGGAAAATCTCGCAGTCCTGCGGTATCCAGCCTCATGCAGTTCAGTGGAGTTACTTAAAACCAAATCTACTCGGGATTTTCAACCCGGGGGGCTCAACAGCTTATTCTAAAAGAAATGCAAAGGTAAGGGAAGCCCCTACCCTTGTTTAAAGGCGGCCAAGGGATCAGGATACGGCCTTCCATTAACACCTATGTGACAACGAGAAGTAAAGCCTGGGCGTCCTATTTCCCTACTGCTGCTAATTGAAGGCACACAAAAGAGAAAGAAACAATTACGTTTTGGAGAGGATGTTCTTATCCGCAGCGATCACTACGCCTCCATCGCTTTTCAAATACTTTTATCCCACTGAACTAGGGTTACACGTAATACGCATCCGGTGTCTGTTATCAAAACTGCATTTAGCCCCCTTCAGAATCTGAAGTGTCTTTCAGGTCGGAGCTTCCCGCTTGGAAAACACTGCTCAAATGCTCGAGAAGAGCAGCTAAATTAAGCCTTCGAAGTCAATTTGTTTATTATAAGCTTATTGTTAATCTTAACAATGGCTGCTCGCTGGAAATGAAATACAGATGCATAAAAACACCGAGCGCAGGAAAGATGCCTTTACCAAACTGCCAGCAGGGCATGAATACAAGTCACCATTTTGCACAGGGGAGATAATTGTCTCTTTACAATAAATAATGTGCAAGCTGAAAAGACTGCTTACTTGGGTTTTTTTCCCCCCTCCAGCCCGTTTCTCTCCCTGTCTCTAATTTTCCACGCGCGGTTTGAGCCGTGGTCACTCTGACTGTAGGTCTTGGCTGGACCCATGCGTTGGTCACCAGCACAGCACACAGCAAACAGCTAAAACGTGTCCCCACAGTATTACGAGCAGACCTGTGAGTCAAGACCTTGAGTCAAGAAGGACTTGCATTAGACAGAAGCAGTCGATGAGTCCTTTTTACTAAGCGGATAAGACGGGAAGTCGTGAACCTGAGACAAAACCACCCAGAACTCCACAAGTCAAAATTTTAAAGCAGCAAAAACATTATCCAATCGTAAGAGAATGATTGTTCTCACCTGATCTTGGAAAAATGAAAACCATTTTAAAACATTAGCGTTAAAAGGCACAGCTACTCATTATATTATGGGGCAAAGTATTACACGCACATACCACCATCTCCCACCTTCTTGCAACACCAGAACTCAGTAGAATGCCTGCTCTGCTTTGCCACCCATGGAGAAAAGGGAAGAAATAAAGTTCTTTCTGCACCTATGCTGTCGGATGAACTTGACCAAGGCTTTTTATGACAATTAAAACCCCTTCCCAGCAGTTCTTGCCATACCTGCTTCATAGGTGGTGGCGTGTGCGGTCATGCTCCAGGTGCTGGACCGCCGACCTTTGGTGACCATGACGGAGAACTCGTACATGGTGTTGGGCTTCAGACCCGTCACGGTGTGACTCAGGGCAGTCGTATCCGCTGACTGCAAAGAGACGGAGCGCAGAACGTCTTTAAAACCACTCTTTGTACGGGCAGCTGAGCAAAACGCAGTTACAATGGATTCCTTCTTCAAGCAAAATAGCTCTATTGCTACTGTGTACCTCAACAGGAGTATTTTTAGTACCATAAATATGATACTAAACTTGCTGCCTATAATTTAGGCAGTTAAATCAATTATTGGGATGCTTTCTCTTTCTTTTTCCCCAAAGTGATTTGCCATGCATTTTTTTCAAATGTAAACTGGAAGCTAACTCTATGTCCTTCATCTCTGCCCATATGAGGACAAAAAATAGGAACGTTTCCATAAGTTAAACACTCACTTCCAGCCTTTTTGATGGGTTCCTTTAAAAAAAAAAAAAGAAAAGGTTTTAATATCTACTGCCTTTTAGTGGAGGGTCAGAAGGCATTTTTCCCCCTAGAATGGTTCTGACTAAGGCTTCCCAGTTCCTGGGGTTAACGCATATTTATGACAGAGATGGAAATATGACCCAGGACCACTGCGTAAAGATGGATTTTTATATTTGTAAAACACACTTCTGCTTGGTTAAATGTAACTTGTTTATGTATTAGATTATATGTGAAACATGTTATTGATTTGCCTCACTGTGATATGTTACGAACAACTAATAACATTGACGTTGATGTGAATATTAAATCGTTCGTTTCTTTCGAGCTGATTTAGCTTTTCCCCTCCGCCTGCAGAGAGGAACAATTTGAGGCAAACTGCACCAGCATCGAAGGAGATAAGTGAGAAGAAAATTACTGGATGAATTGGTGACAACTGAGTAAAATCAATTCCCACGCTTTTCAAGCCTGGTGGGCAATCCTCCAACGTCAACAACTTACAGGCCGGTGAGTTAAAGGTGTTGTGTACTTTTACATGTTTACATACCTATGGATCTAAAGTTTACTGAGGAAGGACAACGTACGTATGGCTTTCCACCAGAAGACTACCTTGACGTTCTCATTGGGGAAGATTATTAGGGAAATACCAGATTTTTATCATCTTCTTACTCAATTAAAACTCTTAGTTCTTGGAAATCAGCAGTTTTGCATACCAGAGGTTTCCTCCAGCAGAGAATCTCCCTCTATAAAAAGCCTTATTGAAGCAAAACCAGCACTTAGAACCTATGCGTTCATAAACTATTCAGTCAAACTACTCATCCACTTGCCAAAGAGGGCAAAATCTACCTCCTCAAGTTTATAGAAATTATTCTTTGATTAAAGGCTGCATTTCAAAATAGGGAATAATCATTTTCTCCCCTAGAAAAGATTTTGGAAGAAACAAAATGATTTATGGCATAAAATACTCCTCAGCGTGACCGAGGGTAACTGAATCTGATGATAACTATCCCTATGGAAGTGCTCAGATATTACACATGATCAGGAAAAATACAACCAGGGAAAAAAAAAATTAAGGCTTGAACCTATTCCTGGACAACATAGACTTTAGTGGAACATAAAGACATTGGGTTCTTTTCTGCAAAAAGAAAGTTATTTGTCTCCAGCTGAGTGTTTTTCTTTGACCCTTTCGCTCAATAGTAAAGATTAGCATTTCAATAGTTGCAAACATCCTTGAAGTGAATACCACCTCGAGATGAAGGGGGCGGAACTGTGGCAAGTACCTTTGGTAAATGCCGCTCCACGCCTGATCGGAACGGTTCGTATAAAGCAAAGTTGGCAGGGCAAAGTGAAATTTCTACATGTCCAGCTTCAATGGGAAAGGCTAAAGCCTTCATTACATTAGATTGGAGATACATTTTTGAAGCAACGGGAAACTTTAATAAGAAAAAATCTCAAAAGACTTAAAAACATCGATGCCAACGCACAGGCAAGCGCTTTGGGAATCTATTTGTGCGCCCAATCCAAACCCCTCTGAAGAAATTAGAAGTTTCCCCCACCATTTTCAAAGAATAACATAATAGTTTTTATCTTGTTTCTTTGAAAAATGTGGTTATTTCAAGAAAGCAGACCTTCTTGCAAGTTTTTTTATTGTTTCTGCTTCTGGGTGATTGAACTGGAATACGTGAACCAGACTGGCTCTTTCCATGCTACCCACAGACTGGCCAAACTGGAGATGGGGGCAAAAAAGGGTAATTTCACTCTTGCTCCTCTCCTCCTTCAGTCTGCTGCTCCTCGATGGCTCCCGGAGCCTTGCGTGGTGGCCCTGCGAGAGGTGTCCACCTACCCGCCTTAGCAGAAGGCCAACGAGCCCGACACCTCCGAGCAGGACATGCATCTCCTGCACAGCAGATTAATAGGGCTATTTTTGATCATTTTTGTTTGTCACCCACTGTTTTCCTCTGCAGGCAGCTCAGGACACTCATTAGGAAACTAGAGAAAATATTATGGTTGACTGTGAGTGGCCAAAAATAATGCTGTCTTTTCCGGAGCTTGGATTTCATTGCTAGAGCTGCAAACTGGGACTCGCCATGCTTCCCTGTGCCATACTCCTCCTTCGGTTGGGCACGGAAATCCAGCTCTAAATAGGAGTCAGAGCATGGTAGGGCATTCAAAACAGTACAATGCATCATTTTGGCACCTTTAATTACCTAAGAGCTTGGTACAACTGCACCAGCGTACAAAATTTGGGTCTAATATTGCAGAGCATCACGTCAATGCCTGAGGTTGTCAGAGGTACGGCAGCAGACGGAGAAGCAAGGTATGGGCTTTTACACCTCGTAAAGATGTGCTGTTATTTAAAAGCTTTACAGCGGGTCAGCACCTGCAGCAAAAAGCCGGCTGACCCGAGTCTCCTCTCAGCTGTTGTGAACACAAATCAGGAGTACCGCAATGGAAATCGATAGTTCGCGGCAGCACACGGACTGAGCCAAGTGCCAGCAAGCCAAATTTGGATGGAGATGTCTAAAGGAGAGAGCTGAAAAAATCCCAATCAGAAAAGAGACTGAAGGCAAGAGCTTCTCCACCATCATTTCCATGTCTTGCAAAAATCACCTGGGGAAGATCTCGAGATTAAGAGTCTGTAGTACCCCACGCCTGAAAGAGGTGGAGCGTCAGCCTCTGGGGTTTAGAAAGGCCAACCTATATTCCGACCCATCGCTCAGGCTCTGATCAGAGGACCCTCAGCGCTGGAGAGAGCACGGCCTGTTCTGCAGTCCTCGTAAAAACGACTTGGACGAGGCTGCTTTTGTTAGGACAGACAAAGGTAAAAAACTGAGGCATCCCCTTGCGGTATAAAAACCCGCCCAGCGCAAACAACTCACTCCGGATCAATACGATCCTTTAGGCGAGCGATAACATCTGTTACAGTAGGGCACGGGAGGAAGGACGTGCTCATCACGGGGAAGGGGGATGTTACATGAGATGCGATATATAAGCTGACGGCAGTGGTGAAAGGTCGCTTACTGTTCAAAACCAAGCAAACAGAAAAGCTGGGCTTGGTTCCTTCCCATTCCCTGTTTCACCGTATCTGCTGGACCGCACCAGTTTCAGGACTACATTCATTAGGACTCGAAGAGAAATTCCCATATGCAAAGTAGTACGCTGCTGTCGTGTCCACTCAAAGCCAGTTTCCTCATAAACTAACCTTCATTTTTGGCTGTTTGGGGATATGTAATCTGGGTGGGTGGAACTGCCAAAAAAGTATTGTGGGTGGGTTTTCCATTGGTATTTCTTCCCATTCACACTATGCTATTGCGCTCCCAAATCTGTGACTAATTTCTATCTGATTGGTAAAGAGGAAAGATCAAAACTTTCAACAGTTGGCACGTGGAATTAAAACACAGCTTTTTCACCCAACTAAACACATGGGTTTCTAGGAAGCAGTTGTTACTCAGGCAAGTCTCCTTTGGATTGAAATGGGAATTTTTGGTGGAGGGAAGTTCATAAAAGCCAATTCAGAGGCTTTGCAGAGAAAATATGAAGAGAGGAAATAGCTCAGAAATTCATAACGCGTTAAAATTTCACCTTGTACTTAGCACTTGTCGAATAGCTCGTTCTCCATCGGACCGTGTAGAAGCGAACCTCCGTAGTCTTTTGGTTCTTTGGGACAGAGTTGTCTGCCCAGATGACCCTCACTGCATCATGCGTAAGTGTAACAGCCTGGACACCTACTGGTGGGAGCATGGGGGTGGAGATATCTGGGACTGAGGTAGGGAAATCGTCAAGCAAAGGATAAAAATCAACTTCTAATGGATCAATGGGGTCTGGGTCCATACATCACCAAATGAGCATTCCAAAAGAAACGAACAGGTAAGTTAAAACAGAAAAACGAAACAAAACAAACCAAAAAAACCAAGCAAACAGCCACCAAGGGGCACACGTCACAATGGGTTAAATGCATGGCATTAATGAGGAGGAGGAACATGAGGAGAACAGAAAGAAAGGCATTAATGCAAAATGAGAACGCACCAGCAACATTTCAGTTACATCACTACAACAAAACCAACCAGCGCTCAGACTTATTTTTCATGACTTATTTAAACCCCTCCAGGTATGCTGTGCTTTCTTCACACGAGATGAAGTCATGCACAGTCTCTCCTTAAAACGATTTACATTTCCTTAAAACAATCGAATCACTTAAATGACACATTACTGGAAACACCTCTGAAGTGGAGAGTGTGTCATTTGCCAACCTGATTTATAGACATGACATACTCTCCCGTGTGTAGGAGTTACCCATGCCTTCCTCTCTCGGCAGCCTCTTTTGTTGTTTTACACTCTTGAAAGGAACATATTCTGCGTCTGCTTAAACGTTTGTTGGGCAAAACAGAACGTAACAATTTCACTGCTGAAGTGAAGAACGTGCAATTGTGGGTTTAACACCGCCAGAGTGATAAATGTGCACATCCAGGTGTGGAAACGCGGATTATCATCAAGCGGGCTTCTTCCTCGAGGAATAAGCCCGATTCGTCTCCCGTGTGTCTGTATCCGGGGGGGGGTCTTTGGGGAGCGAGACGCTGAGCACCGTAGGTAGATTCTGGCTGGCTTGATTATGGAGATAGCTGCTGTCTCTTCCCTTTGGGGCCACATGGTGATGGCGCTCACGCGGGAACCAGAGACCGTTTCTACTCAGTTTAAACACCTCTGTCCTCATTGAAGCACTCAGTCAACTTCTGGAGGTGTTGAGGCCCCATCCCTGAAGGTTTTCAAGGCCAGGCTGGACGTGGCCTTGGGCAACCTGGTCTAGTGGGAGGAGTCCCTGCCCATGGCAGGGGGGCTGGAACTCGATGATCTTCAAGGTCCTTTCCAACCTAAACCATTCTATGATTCTGACCTGTCTTCTAAAACTATACTTACTGACTCATTAGTTACCAGCTGTGATTTTTCTACATACAATTTCAAAATGCCGTGGGTAAAGCACAGCCAAAGGTTGTTTGGGGCTCTTTCCCCCCTCTAAAATAACGTGCTAATTAATTAATCAAAGCACAAATGACTCTAATATTTCCTCGCTGACAGCTGCTACAGGTTGTCTGCTCCACGTCCGATTCCAGCTCCTGACACTCTTTGATCACTCCTGGTTTATGGGTTTGTAATTCATTATTCAGAACTTTGGGAGGTCACAGCCTTCAGAAGGGAAAACAGAGGAGACAAAGACGTTTGAAATGGATGATGAGCCACGAGGTTCCACCTGCTGCTTCTGTTGACTTCCTTCATCAAAAGCCACTTTGTAAGAAGTCCGAATATCAGCGTTGAAGGAAAGGAAGCAACCCGGTGGTTGTTGTAGTGATCCAACACCCCAACACGCGATGCGGACGGGGAGGGACGGGCAGTTGAATCTCTTTTTTACCCCATCCCGGTGAATCGAACCTTCTGCAAGTTGAAACTTCGCCGTTTCTTTTCCTGAACTGAAGTTTTCCAAAAGAATTGGCTGTAAACTTTGGAAGTTGAGCCTGCTCACGTTGGGTTTTTTGATTGGTTGTTTTTTTTTT